GAAGAGCTCACAAAAGTAACAACATAATGTATGTTCTTTACCTATTCTCTTAAAAAACAGCTTGCTTGCTTTTCCTGCTCAACTCTTACTCTGGAAGAATGCTGAAAAGCGTATGGCTAGGGTCAGCACCTGTTACGTTTTCTGCTCTCTCGCTCTGTGGGGATACAATGCTCCCCTCCTTAAATTTGCTTTGTGATAACTGAATTTGTATTTTGTGATATTTCTGTGAAATAATCTTTATGCGGTTTAAAACACGTACCGCCTACGGATGCTGCCATACGGGTCCGGGTACGTTACCGCTATGAAGTGGGACTGCGCACGGATGCTGCCTAGCCCAGAACCTGAACAATCAGAAATAAGAGAAACAGAGCACTTTGGTATCAATCTGCAGTGTGTCTTAGGTTATATTCCTGTTACAAAAATGACAAAGGTAACTCCTCTGAAATATCACTTTTGAACGTTAGTCTTCAATATATTTTTAACTTCAGAAGCCTGGAGTTTATTGAAAAAGTAAGACTGTACAAAAAAATATGTAATGAGGGTGTGAAAGCACTAACTCTCAACGGGGACAAGCAAAACCTGCTCATTCCATGTCAAAGTTTCACGCTGTGTGTGCTCACTTGTATCCTGTTACTAAAAACTTACTTCCTTCTTAGGATTCTGGTAGATCTGAAGAAAGAGGTCTGGTATCAGAAGTGTCACGATCCCGTCTGCAGAGAGAAAAACTTCAGGTCACCAAGTACGTACCCTGTGATTCCAAAGCGATTGTACTTAAGGCTTCTAGGAATGGTAACGTGACTTAACGCCATCTGTTTGATTCAGGTTTCCCATTGCCGCCTCGGATATGTCTCCCTTTTCTCTTCAGAGAGGTATGGTTTTCGCCTGTCGATACGCTCAAGTTCTCGTGAGTAAAGCTGTCCCTGGAAGCCAGTGAAAGTCACCGCCAGCGCGGGCAGCCCCGCTGCTAGGGAACAGCTGCCCAGAGCTGTGTGGGGCTGCTAACTCCCTCTCCTCATTTCTCAGTTCTCCAGCTGCAGATCTAGCACAAAACCCGTCCGCGCTGACAAACCTAGGTTACTGAACGGCCTGACGGTACCTGGGACTAAAGACGCTCCTCCGTCTTGGTCTGAAGCGCCGCTCCCCACACATAAACCACGTGACCCCGCTGCAGGTGCAAAAGGGAAACGCTGCCCCGGTCAGGCTCCGCTCCGCGTGTCTGACGTCACGCTGGGCCGGCTCCCGGGGAAGTGCTCCTGCAGCACTGAGCTCATCAACAGCTATCAGTGTCACTGCACAGAAAGCGTAACCTAAACGCACTTTCAGAGCCTGACAGTACCTTTCAGCAGGCACTAAAATCAGCTTTAGCCTTATCTCATTTTAAGCTGTATACAACCAAATACTTGTGGTTTGCCAGGAAACCAGCAAATTTCTATCCCTATGAAAATAGGTTTTTCTGCAGAGTAACGTGGCTCTAACTTCACCTGGGGGAAAGTCTGCCTCGTTGGCCAGCTTTCTGCAGTGCCCACTTCCTGTGGCAGCACAAGCGTCAGACTTTCAGCTCAGAGCAGTTGAAGACCCATTTTTGTGTGGAGTAAGTAAGTAATAGTCTTGTTTCCAAAAGGAAGAAGATACAGCAGTGGATGAAAGGGGGAGCACAGAAGAGGAAGTAAAAGCACATTCTAATGTGGCAGAGTTGTCAAAAAGCTCATCTGCAGACTTCCTGGTGTCAGACGGTGAGTGGGACAGTGCAAGCGATGATGCCCGTTTCCTAGAAGCTACTGAAGATGTGGAACTAGCTGAAGCGGCAAATGACAGCCTGAATTATGCCACAGAAGAAATCCCTGATGAAGTCCTTTTGGAAGCCTTAAGGAAACGGGACGCTTGTAGTAAAGGCAGCAGCTAACCACAGGCCTGGCGAGATGACAGACGGCTGGCAACAGAACGGCTTTAGCAGCACACACCTATCGCGTGCCCTCTGCGAAAGCTACGGCGGTGGAGTTTACGGTGCCCTGCCAGAGCTGAGAGACGAAAAACCCGAGTATCCTCACAACGGGATGATCTGCCACAAGCACGAGGAGACGGAAAACTCGCCGTGAGTGCTGCTCCAACGCCCGCTGCTGTGCTGTTTGTTTTGTTAGCAGTATGTCCAAGTTCTACTGATAAGCCAAGAAAAATAGCTTCTTTTACTTTCAGAAACGGAGGTTATTTATTTCAGATACAAATTTAATAAAAAGATTTCTCTATCAACAGTTTAACCACTGTCTGTGTGTGTTCTTTCTGAAGGCTATATGGCTTTCGGGATCGCAGCACTAGCCCAAGATCGAAACCCAACATTGTTAACAGCACAGAAGAGTGCTACTACTGCCATTGCTCTTTCATTAGTTTCACTGGCACTCAGCAAGTTCTCACACAGACTCCTGGACAACAGAAAGATGCAGTCTGATTATAGAAAGGCTGAAGCAAAATACAGCAACAACAATTAACCAAGCTTTAAGCACCGAGCATTCTAACAATCGTTCCTAACGAGTGTCAGAAAGTCTCTTACTAAACAATTAATGTTTATCTGATAACTTCTTTCTTTGGACGTCCAGAGCCTGTTGCAGTTTCCTATTAATATTCTGAAAGTGTCTTTCTGCTCCCAGAATTCTCCGCGACTCCACCAGCAGAGCAGGTAGGCTGGAAGTTCCATACTGTTGTTAAGGAAATAAAACGACACGGCATCATTTTTAACGCTTGGAAAAATCACTTTCATACCTGCATTTATCTTTGCTCTGTCTGAAATAATGCAGTATGATTTTTTTTCTTTTTGGAGGTGAACCCCCCACATTAGAGCACCTCCTGAAAGGGTAGGATTTCCTTGCGCGTGGCAGGGACGTAGCGCTGTTTGGCAGAAAACACCACACCGGGTTACGAGCCGCAGTAAAAGGGGGACACTGGAGTACAGCAGTGATTCTCAAGTTGCTTCCACAGAGACAATTAATAAAATACTGCTATTCAAGGTACATTAAACATTAATAGAAGTGCCCATCAGCCCAGGAAAGAAAAAGGGGGAGGAGCTGATCAGAAACTCATGTGAAATAGTACTTACTACCGCTTTTTCTTTTGGGTTTTCTTCTCTATAATCCCAACAGTCTTGCTGTAGCTCCTTCAAATCAGTGAGTAACTCGGTTGCCTGTCTCAAGGAAGATTTCCTTTCCTGGACCGTGGCATATTCTGTCTGTAGTTGTATCAGCTGCGATTCAGCTCTGAAAAATCAAAGCTTTGGTGACTCTCTGCCTGTTTACTTCGCAGGTAACTACAAACACACTTCCTCTGACAAAGACTTACGGGAAAGGTTGGTCAGAAATACAAGGTATCGGGTAAGTGTAGCATCCTGTTTGAGTAACTAGCACACAACTGAAACAGGAGCGTGGGTCCAAATCCACAAAAAACACCCCAAACTTGTTTTCCCTGCAGCGGTGAAAGACTCTCTCCCACCCCAAGCCCACAAAAGCCCTCTGTCCTACCTTGTGCATCTGCGATTCTGTCACCTTTGCAACCACAGTTGCAACGCAAGTGGTTTTGTTACGAGCATCTGAGCCCCGAAGTGCCACCCCACTAACTGCTCAGCTAAGGGAGCTTGCAAGAATGACTTTCTAGGCAACTGAACTATGGACAGGAGAGGTTATCCCGAGCTTCTGTAACAGAAAGGGGTTCAGAAGTGGAGTTTCAGCAAAAGAAAGTGAAAGAACAACAGTGTTCCTTTCGCTTCCGAGTTATGAAATACCAGACTCCCAAGTTCTTCAGTCTGTTGGCATGTGCCATGAGGAACGTACCGAATCAGCTCTCCTCTGACTTGCAGGAGTCGCTCCCTTTTCTTTCTGATGTCTGTTATTAACTGAAACAAAGAGCGAGGAGAGTCTTTCTGTAGCTTCAGAGGCAAACAACTCAAATTTCACTGCCTTCTCTTCTTTGAAGTTTTGTGTTTCTGATTCTGGATGGGGAAGATTCACAGCCACCAGACCGTGCAGACTGCCATACCTTACAGGTGTATTTTAAACACTTTAAAGCTCTTGAAAACATCAAACACACATCTCCAGCCAAAATTTCTCTCAGGGAACACAGGGTTTACCAACATACAAAAGGCATTTGTGATATTCTGAACTCCAGCATACCCAGCTCTAGCAGGTTTTTGTTTGTTTCTGTTCCCAAAATGCAGATTAATACAAACGTTTGCACAGTATGACTGCTGTAACTAAGGCATAATTAAGAGCTTATTAAAGAAAGCTTAATTAAAATATCCGTTTTATAAAGTAATCCCCCAAACTAATCATAAATTTAGCAACTTGCAAGTTGGATTTGAAACAAATGTCTAAGAGGCAAAACAAAGATAACTCCGAGCGGCTGTGAATGTCAGGTGGTTATTAGGATTTTCATTGTACACGCAGAGCAGCTCACCACATCCCCTCAGACTGACGAGACTTGAGCACACGAATCGCTGCCTCCCAGCACGAGCTTCCAGCGGACTGTTAAGAGCCCTGCTGTCACTGGCGAGGTTACTCGGGGGGGACAGCGCCTGGCCCGCTCCTGAACGTCTCTGCTGCGGGGCGTTCACCCCTCCCAGCGCGACCGCTGCCGTGGCTTTCTGCTCCCACACTAGTTCCTCCTCCTGTTCACACTCTTGCGCTTTCAGTCACTGCTTGCTCTGCACAAACAGATCAACTGCCCGCCTCCAGCCAAGCATTTTGCCTGTCTTTAGGGAAGGCAGCTCCCTTAGATTTCCTTCCTCTAAACTAAGCGATCCGATTCTTTCCTCAAAGGTCACCATCTTCACTCCTCTCCGGAGTTTTATGTTCATCTCTGTTTCTGGAAGGTTAGCTCTCACTATTTAATGGGCTCGTCAGAGGCCGCACGGGTGCTCATTAAGGAGAGAGTCGTTCACGCGCGTAGGTCCCACCGTGCATCTCTTCTCGTCACGCCAGGAGGGCGGTGTACGCATGGAGTGTGCCATCTGTCACATTTACCCAAATCTTTTTCAAAACCACTTCTGGTGGTTCCCCATCCTCTGTCTGTGCCGCTGATTCTGTAGTACCGTACGCTTCTTGCCTGAATCGTTCCTTCTAGTCAACTTCTTCACGTGTCAGTGCCCACCTCTGGGCGCTGCACAAGCTAGTGATGTCTGTGTGCTTACCTTAGCATTTTTTTTCTTCGTATTCTTTAATTCCTGGACGTCCACTATCTACAGAGGGAAAGAAGAATTACAGACTGACTTTTTACAAGGGCCTGTAGTGACAGGACAAGGGGTAACGGGTTTAAATTGGAAGTGGGGAGGGTTAGATTGGATATCAGGAAGAAGTTCTTCCTGGAGAGGGGGGGGAGGCACTGGGACAGGTTGCCCGGAGAAGCTGTGGATGCCCCATCCCCGGAAGTGTTCAAGGCCAGGCTGGATGAGGCTTGGAGCAACCTGGTCTAGTGGAAGGTGTCCCTGCCCATGGCAGGGGGTTGGAACTGGATGGTCTGTAAGGTCCCTTCCAACCCAAACCGTTCTGTGATTCTATGGATCTTGATTTCATCTCTATCTTCCTAAAAGCACGGTTACAAGAATTTGGAATAACATGAGCTATTTCAAGAACACAGCAGTGGTTCAATGGAAGCTGACAAGTGTATCAGTTGTGTACCGATCCTGTCCTCTCTCCTCATGCCAGAGGAAGACTTGCACAAAATTAGCCATCTTGCACCGATTAGTGCCAGAAATACTCCTTGTACCAATCAGTGTAATACTACCTACCTTAATTTAACTCTCTATGAAGGTACAAGTCTAGTAATTTTATAGCTTGCCCATTCTACCGTATCACTTAGAACTGCAGTTTTAGTACTGATCCATGCACTTACCACAACTCCTACAAAGTTCTGAGTTTTTTACTCATCATAATTAGTGAGAAGGAATCTCAGCCTTCCAAGCTAATCAGCTTTTGACAGGTTCAAACTGTTAATTAAAAAAAAAAAGGATGATTTTCCCTGAACTACGTTAGCGGTCTTGGTCAGGCCTCTACACAAGAGTCATTGAGACACGGTATAAAGATCAAACCATCAACTTTTTAGTAGGCCATGAGCTTTTAAAACAGCGTTTGATGTAGCTGCTCGCTCACCCAGATTATGCAGCTCTCCAGTTTTACTGCACGATGCCACAGACGTGGCAAATACTACCGTTCCCCTGTTCTCAGAAGCTGACAGTTTTGCAGCGTACGTGCATGCCGGCAGTGTCGCGTCTGAAAACAGTTCTGCTGAAAGCCAGCAGAGGCGGCACGCAAGGAACGCTTTTCATATCATTAACATGTTGTAATCTCTTGTCAGGGTCAGGTGCTATAAAATAAAGGGGTGAAGGGCAGTACGAAACCCGCACGGGCATTTGTCTGCAGTACAGCTCTGCAGTCACTACCACAGCGCTGACTGTATTCACGGGGCACTCACACGACAGGTGATTTCGTCCTTGAAAGCGGAACAGAAGGCACTGATGGCTTCTCTGCAAACGTTCGATTCTACGCTTTCCCTGGAGAGGTCAGAGGGACAAAACACAACCTGTTTGGTTTAGTGAAGGAGACATCTCATCCTAAAACATTCATTTGAGTAGGGAACAAACCCCACCGTTAAGCAGTCAGTAGCACAGGCGACTGCGGATCTTTCGCGTACTAGCGACAGCTTAACTTCAGCTTTGAAAAACATCAGCTGTGTTGTTGTTCGTGTCTGGGAAAACATCAGGTTCCGGGAGAGGACCTCTGGGTCACACACCAATACTTTTTGTGTCGCAGAAACCAAATAACCATTAAAATAACATCAGAACGTAACCATGCAGTAGTGCATTCCCTAAAGGACAGCCCCTTAGCAAAACCACAGGTAACTTGGTGTGAAAATTTTGGAGTATTCAGCCGCAGAAAAGAGGAATATTCACCTGTAATTTGCTGCTGCCTTCTCAAACGCATCCAGAACAACATCCAGTTCTGTAATATCTGTGGAAGTTCTCTTCATCTCTTTGGGACACCACACCTCTACAGAACACGGGCTGGCCACTGAAACAACAGCGCGGAGATGAGCATTGTACAATTCTAAAGTAACAGAAAAGTTACTGAGCCCACCGTAAGAACAACCATCTACAAGTTATGAGTATTTTAATAGGAAACGCGAGAATAGGGAAATACGGGTTATTCCATCTGTCTTTGGCTGATGACAGGCTTAATCTGGGAACGCTTCAGAGTCTGAATTCTGTACAACTTCTTATTCGTCATCATGTCAGACAAGTCCAGCAGCACGTTATTCCACTGAAAAACTACGGCGTGTGCTGCAGCGAGAGTTATTTGTGCTGTAGAACCTACCAGCCCGTGGTCAGGCAACCTGCATTACCCAAGGAATCACGAGCTGTTACATCACATCTGTATCCATTTTGTACTGATACCACATACGCTGCAGGAAGAGCTACACACAAACGTGCTTTCATTCGTGAAGAAGCATTCATCGTGCACCAGGAAAAGCCACACGGGAGTTTTGGAAAGTCTGCTTTACCGGGAGGATCCGACACGTTCGTTGCCGAAGGCCGCCGCTTCTTTTTTGCCTGGAATTGAGCAAGAGTCAGAACCTCCCATGATACAAAAAGCAGATTAACTTGAAAACACCTGGCCGTTATATTCCCCATCGAGGTGACAGCTGTAGCTTCAAGCATTTCACTTGGCCACCTCACGGGAATACGGGCAGGAGTAATTATTTGGGACACGATTAAGTACTAAGGAAGTGCTACGAAACAAACGACAGGCCTTGCCCTCCTAACGCAGGCAGGGCCTGAAGCAAGTGACAGTTCAACTGACTGCTGCACTCGTGCAACCGTCTCCGTACCACATTCTCCTTAAGGAGCTCATCCTCCGGATCAGCTCTGCGGAATTCCTGAGCATCACCACCAGGCGTTTCTGAGCGGCGTGGTTTCTTTCTAGGGAAAGGAAAAACACCCACCACGTAAACCCGCTACACAGCAAGAAGGAACGATCACCAGCCATAGAAGCTAAGACACCGGTCTGGGGTACGTTTTCTATCGCCGCGTCATTCGGTCTGCGTCTCCCGAATCAGCTATGCAGGGAGTCACGAATGGCTTGTAAAGGGAACAGAAACTCTGAACCTCAACAGCAACCCCTGTGACAGTTAGAAAGCCACTGCTGCTTGGCACTGGGCCAGCCAGCTTGTTTTGAGGAGAAACTTCCCAACAGGAACGAAATTATTGTGGAAGATATTTCCGCAGGAAAGCTCGGTGGTGGAGTTGGAAATAAACACCCCCCAGAAATATACACTCTCATACGACCTCTATTTCACTCAAAGGAGAACTATTTCAAATTTAACCCAGACTTCCTTTAACAAATTAAATACTAAAGTATTAAGAGATCTTTTCAAATCCATTTGCTTTGCTACATCTAGTTTAACCTGCTTTCACCTATGTTTCATTTTTTTAACTGAACTTTAAAGACACCAGCGTTTAGAGCGCTAATTAGCATCTCACAGAGATATTTTGAAATCTTTCCATTTGAAAAAAAGAATACAGTAAGTACTTAAATCGACGTACGCCTTGCAAAAGGCAAAGGCTAACTTATTCACCCGTTTTCTTTTCTACACTCCCAAATCTTAACATATTCTTTTGGTTTCTCACCTGGGAAATTGTAAATTAAAGCATCAGTTTAATGAGCAGCACGGGAAACCCGACAAACAGAAACCCTAAAGATTAAAGGAAATGCTGGCAATTACTTTTTTCCACCGGATCTTTCTCCATGTCTCCTTTTTGGGGTCGAAACGTGACCAAGTGACCTGTTTTGGGCCTGTTCCTCTCCGTAAGCATCCACAGCGGTACTGTGCAAAGGGTGATCTGCAAGGAACAGCAAATAAGCCGCATGAAAATCCTTCCCACCCGCTCAGGCAAAGAGCGTGGACGTGCCGGCACCACCTGCCATTCAGCGTTTAGTTAGGAATCCTGTGGTTTGCTCACTCATCCAAAGGAATTCTTCTTACAAGTATTATTTGAGGATCAGGAAAAACAGATGTAGTGAGAACCTTTGCAGTTTCTGTACTCATCCACCTGCTAATTCCTTACCAACTGAAACCAGAGGCGCGGGAAGGCTCAGCACGTACACGCAGGGCATGCAGCAAGCGCAACACCGTTCACTTAAAGCCTCTGCTTGTTCTGGCATGCATCAACCTTCTGTATACTTGAACAGCTGCTGTCGAAACGTTACCCTTTTTATTTTGTGTGGATTTTTAGACGCTTTACTGGATGCCGGAAGGCCGTTACAGCTCCTACAGAGAGTTTATAAATGTAGAATTCTTGAAGGTAGCTACCAGAATAGTTTGAAACTCTGAGAATCGTAAAGGTTCAGCCTGCCTTCTGTAGTACATACTTCTTTTTTCAAGCACACTGCCACAAAAATTTCAGGTTAGCTTACAGTAGTGCTAGTGGGAGTCCTTTTTACAGGTTTTAACACATACCACAAAGTGAGAAGACGACGATTTCCCCTTATGACAACCCTTCTGCTATGCTGCGCTTTATAGCCAGCTCATTTTCAGCTGGTTTTAGTAGTTACCTGTATATTTCCGTGAGTTTCTTAGAGGAATAAGCATTACAGCTGAGAAACTGCTCTTTGCCTTTTTCTCTACAACATCTAATTACAGAGTTTTGAAAAAGTTTTTCTTACCAACACTGGCATGTATAAGCTCTATGTTTCTATATATATCATTAATATTATTAACATACACTATTGAGATATATTTATATATATCTCATATAGAATCACAGAACAGTTTGGGCTGGAAGGGACCTTAAAGACCATCCAGTTCCAACCCCCCTGCCATGGGCAGGGACACCTTCCACTAGACCAGGTTGCTCACAGCCTCATCCAGCCTGGCCTTGAACACTTCCAGGGATGGTGCATCCACAGCTTCTCTGGGCAATGACCTGTATGTTTTATATATATTTTTATCTATGTTTATAGAGACCTTCACACAGGGGCACCTATTCCATCTGAACTGATTCCCTTCCAGTATACTGAGGCCTCATTGCACAAGTCCCTTACGGAGCACGAAAGTGGTTGTAATGCTTCACCAAAAATAGTAAGTTTTTGTGATGTTACTTTTTAAGCAGACCAACATCCCTCCGAACGTCCTAGCTTGCTGCTGCCATGGTTTAACTCCACGCACACTCTTAAAATAGCAAAAAAAATCACTTTGTAATTAATTTAATGGAGAGTAAGTTAGGATTTTGAACTTTCCTTTTAAAATGCGATTTTAAGTGATGTTAGATTGCGTGAGGTTCTACCTCTCACCCTGTAAATCCTGAACAGCCGGTATCTTTCTATCAGCTTTTGCTTGTGCGTATTACGGTGTTATTCTTGTTACTTCCTAAATGACAGAAAACACCACCACTTTCCAAAAACCTTCTTTCTCTCCTGCCCATGATTTTCTCCAGCAAAGAAACAACACCCTTTCCTAAGTAAGCACCGAAATCTTCTGCCTGTGCGGTTTGTTGATGAAAACCGCGCGTTAAATGACGCGGCAGCGAGTACTGACCGTACGAATCGTCAAGCTCCTCAAGGTCATTCCTTTCCACCACCTTCAATATCCTTGAGACATCTGGTTCCTCAGGTGGAAGCAATTTCCAGCGAGAACGGGACTTGGTTTTGTATTCCTGGGTGGGTATGAAATGAACAGCTAGTTCACCCAGCTTTTTGAGTGTAAAACAGATTAAACATGACAGTGGATTTCAGTAACGTTTGACTAGAAATACATATGGACTGCTGAGCTACGACATAAAATACTTGACGTGTGTGTTTTTTTCCTCAGGCTATGGTTTGTTAATCCTAAGAGCAGCGATGGTATGAAACAGATATTCTGCTATTTGAGACAAAGCTGATGCTACAGCATAGTGTTATTTTATAAAACTAAGTGTGTAAGCTTAGAAATCTCATAACAGTCTGGCGTCTGGTCTCTGATCCGTGGCCTCTCTCTTTTCAGGCATTAAAATATCTCTTTTTTCCTGATGTCCATCATTATGAAAATGTTCACAAACATCCATCCTTGTCCAGTTTAATGATTCTCACTTTAAAAAAAAACCCAAAGCAATGCCTAACTTCTACAAAAGGTGGTATTTACTAATCAGGTATCACCCAGAGGCAGATAAACCAAAGGCTGGGGGAGAACAGCACAAGTTTATGCAGTATTCGTAACCATGTCGTTCACGCCCTAAGCGTGGGAGTAGATTTCCTCGCTCCTTCGCGTGTGGGCATGGACAGCGAATGACACGAAGAAGACACCAAGTGTTTCAGGCTGTTCTCTTGCATTTTACAGGGCTGTTTTCAAACTTGTGCCTGTTTGGAAGTCAATGGCCCGTTGTGCCTGGCTCCCAACGGAGGAGAGCCCCCGGGCCGCCTGTCATGGTTTAACTCCGGCTA